ACATGACACCATACAGTACAGCGAACATTACACCGTACATTACAGCATACATGACACCATACATTACAGCATACATGACACCATACAGTACAGCGAACATTACACCGTACATTACAGCATACATGACACCATACATTACAGCATACATGACACCATACAGTACAGCGAACATTACACCGTACATTACAGCATACATGACCCCATACATTACAGCGTACATGACACCATACATTACAGCGTACATTACAGCATACATGACGACGACCATGACAGCATACATGACACCATACATTACAGCATACATTACACCACACATTAAAGCATACATTACACCATACATTACAGCGTACATTACAACATACATTACACCATACATGACACCGTATATTACAACATACATGACACCGTACATTACACCATACGTTACAGCGTACATTACAGCATTCATGACACCATACATTACAGCGTACATGACACCATACATTACAGCGTACATTACAGCATACATGACCCCATACATTACACCGTACATTCCAGCATACATGACACCATACATTACAGCATACATTCACCACACATTAAAGCATACATTACACCATAAATTACAGCGTACATTACAACATACATTACACCATACGTTACAGCGTACATTACAGCATTCATGACACCGTATATTACAACATACATGACACCATACATTACAGCATACATGACACCATACATTACAGCGTACATGACACCGTACATTACAGCATACATGACACCATACATTACAGCGTACGTTACACCATACATTACAGCATACGTTACACCATACATTACAGCATACATGACACCATACATTACAGCATACATGACCCCATACATTACACCATACATTACAGTGTACATTACAGCATACATGGCACTACACATTACAGCATACATGACACCGTACATTACAGCATACATGACACCATACAACACCATACATTACACCAATACATTACAGTAACTGCCCACAAGTTGGTGTTTCAGTACGAAAACCGTTACCAAGGTAGTTTATCCAGACAGTAACAGCGCATAAGTTGGGCGTTTTAATGTGGAAACCGTTATCAAGATAGTTATCCAGACAGTAACAGCCCATAAGTTGGGCGTTTTAATGTGGAAACCGTTATCAAGATAGTTATCCAGACAGTAACAGCCCATAAATTGGGCGTTTTAATGTGAAAACCGTTATCAAGATAGTTATCCAGACAGTAACAGCCCATAAATTGGGCGTTTTAATGTGGAAACCGTTATCAAGATAGTTATCCAGACAGTAACAGCCCATAAGTTGGGCATTTCAAAACGAAAATCGTTAATCACACACACAAAATCCTTAAACGTATTGCACAACAGAATCAAGAATATTAACTGTCTGTTCCTCACGTGCACCGTTCCTTTCTTGTAGACAATATTTACGACACACACACAATCATGCCGTGCTTCCAAACATAAAACAATGAACGTTGTGTTGTTCTACTGCCAGATGTTGCTCGTGGAAAACACGTCATTCAATACTTTACCTACAGGTAACGTATTCCTCATTAAGCAATGTCTCGACACACACACACACGCCCATTATTCTAATAAATAAACCTATATCGTTCCGTTGCACATGCTATCTGGTTATTGCTCTTAGTTTTGTTGGGAGATTATATTAAGAGTCGTGGGGTATTCATCGTATGAGTTTATTCGTGTATGTACTGTACTGTAAGCTAGAACTTAATATCCGGTTACAGCGGAAGAAACTAATATATATATATAAGATTTAAAAAAAAGGAAAAATAAAACGAGATTTAAGAAAGCAAAAGATAAACGGTTTGATTATCTTTCTTTCTCGGAGTTTAATAACGTCATTTCCCTACATTTCAAGACTGTTTATTCGGAACTATTGATAAGACCAGCGAAGAACATTCCTGTGGAATTTACACACGCACACAGAACGAAACGACCAGTTCATAATAATATTACTTCTGTTTTCATTTGCTGATTAACTTCAGAGATTTTTAGTACATTAATTATAAGCTGTTAATTTATTTTATCTTACTTTCACTTATATAGTTCATTAGAAGAAAATAACCATTTTTTAAAGATTTTATATTGGTAGGCTTGGTTAGTTCTTTAAATGTCACAAAAACGTATATGCAATAACAAACTAAACACGCGGGATAACTAACTAATCTCGTGGAATAACTAAAAGTAGCACGTGCAATAACTAACTAACCTCGTGCAATAACTAAAACTAGCACGTGCAATAACTAACTAACGTCGTGGAATAACTAAAAGTAGCACGTGAAATAACTAACTAACGTCGTGGACTAACTAACTAACCTCTTGCAATAACTAAAACTAGCACGTGCAATAACTAGTCGTGGAATAACTAAAACTAGCACGTGCAATAACTAACTAACCTCGTGCAATAACTAAAAGTAGCATGTGCAATAACTAACTAACGTCGTGGAATAACTAAAACTAGCACGTGCAATAACTAACTAACGTCGTGGAATAACTAAAACTAGCACGTGCAATAACTAACTAACCTCTTGCAATAACTAAAACTAACACAGCACGTGCAATAACTAACTAACGTCGTGGAATAACTAAAAGTAGCACGTGAAATAACTAACTAAACACGCGGAATAACTAACTAACCTCTTGCAATAACTAAAACTAGCACGTGCAATAACTAGTCGTGGAATAACTAAAAGTAACACGTGCAATAACGAACCCCCCCCCCCCCCCAGTGGCACAGCGGTATGTCTGCGCTCTTACAATGCTAGAAACCGGGTTTCGATACTCGTGGTGGGCAGAGTACAGATAGCCCATTGTGTAGCTTTGTGCATAACTTAAGACAAACAAACAAACAAACTAGCAATAACTGAAAGTAGCACGTGTGATGACTAAGAATTGTAATCAAGGGCGTCCGCAGAATAAAATTAGGGGGGTCAGGTAAACTCAAGTTTGAAAAAATTATGAAATCGAAATACAAATACCTTATGATTTTCCAGTAACATTGAAGAAGAATTTTACATATCGGGGGGAAGGGGGGGTCAAGTGACCCCTCCCCCCTTGCAATTTCCTGCGGGCGCCCATGGTTATAATTAAATCATACAATTACAAATTGATCGGGCGTTCCTAACTGTGATTTTACCAATACTTTAAGGCTGTTTCCATGCCTACAGTTTTCATTGAGAGTGTGTTGAAAGTGAAGTCTTGTAATATTGTCTGAAATGAGTGGGCCTAAAAGAAAAGGTAGTTTCTGTTCTATTAAGCACATAGCATCCTGAAAAATGGGTCTTTAGTTTTCTCGCAACTGTATATCATTTGCTATTTCCGTAAGTAATTCAGATGCAATCTAATTATCCGTTTCTGTCCTGATGAAGCTTTACCGATATTTTGAATAATAAATTCCACAGAGTAGATCTGTTTGAAAGTGTAGTCCAATTAAACTAAAATTGGTCTCGGCTAAAAGCTCATATTATTACAACGCTTACAAACAAACAAAACGTTGTAATATAATTATTATTTCCTTCAACTATCGAACAAAAGGTAGAGTTGCCATTTTATCTGTTCTTCTATTTCATTTAAAACACTTTGTCATGTAAAGTTTGTTCTTTACAAGACCCTCGAAGTCACCCAGTGCAGGAAGTGATTACATTTTGATTGCACTTTCCTGCTTGTAGAGAGAGCCATGAAACACGAGATGATTGACGGTCGAGAAGCCAGCCGGAGCCAACACACGTTTCTGTTATAATAACAACTTTTTTTTATTGTCTTTAAGCTTTCATCAGAGCATATTACTCTCATGAGAAAATGGAATCACCGAGAAACGCTGTAAGGGACGTCCTCCAGTAAACTCAAATGGCAGGAAAATTGTCATCTCAAACTTTTAAGTGTGTTCTAATGGGAAGACAAATCGCATACCCCCCTTCCCTTAACTCCACTGGAACATTCACCATCCACACCAGACTTTACAATACAGTGAAAAGTGAGTATATTAAGTTACATTAGGTCCTAAAGTCTTTTCGAGAACTTAGCTTAATTGGGAAGGAACTTTAACAAACACGTAGTTCCAAAAACTGAAACCCGAAAAGTTGAAAATAAGTTTGCTTTCATTGTTGTCCAGTAATATTGTTGATATAATGTAAACTGAAAGTGCACGAGACCGACCTCGTATTGGAGAAGCAGTTTTGGTTATCATTCCGAATTTACTCCGTTTCGTATAAGAAATGTGGCAGACTTTTACTAAATCGTACAAGTATATTGAACGCAAAGAATCCGATATTCGTACTCAAGATATATCTATAAATTGTCGACGTCAGTCTGACTCAGACTCTGACAAGTCAGAGTGCCAGATGATGTTCGTATGAAGAATAAAGATACTTTCATCCATCGTACAGTTTGAATCTCCATAATCTCTAGAACTTCACAAATGTATATCTACAGTTTGAATCTCCATAATCTCTAGAACTTCACAAATGTATATCTACAGTTTGAATCCTCATAATCTTTAGAACTTTACAAATGAATATCTACAGTTTGAATCTCCATAATCTCTAGAACTTCAGAAATGTATATCTACAGTTTGAATCTTCATAATCTCTAGAACTTCAGAAATGTATATCTACAGTTTGAATCTTCATAATCTCTAGAACTTCAGAAATGTATATCTAC